ATTAGTCAAAATGATTTTTGATTTTGATGATCTTATAACTTAACTCTTTACCATCATATATAAGGATTGTAATGTAGTAAAGTTTCTCTTCTTTTTTAGGCATCACAAAAATATAAGATAACACTATTAAGATGTGTGCAAGATGATTATTCGAATTATTGTGAATCAAAAAGAAACCCTAAAAAAGGTATGCTTTTGCTTGACCAATGGGATGCAACCAAAACAAGTACCCAATATTAATGCTGATTCTTGAGTCAACAATGACAAGGCTTGATGAAACTAGAGGAGACTGCAAGGCCTTCAGCAGTAAAATCTCGTCATCCATTAGTTTAACTAATCAAGTATAGAAGACAAATAGTTAACTTTATGATATTCACGATACTGGAGATTGATTTTTTATTTGGTAATCAAGCATTAGCTCAAGTGTAGTTGAGTTCCTCTCAAATTGAACGGTTTTAAAGCCGCATCAATCATACATATCTTAATGTAAATCTTATCTAGATGTCATTGCTCTTTTTTGGAATTTATTAAATTTTCAACACGTCTACTTACCGTTTTAGAACATATTTTAATAAAATTAATTAATTGTGTAAGTCAGAATTTTCTTTAAAATGATGAATATATTCATAAATGGACTTGCTTCTTACCCTTGTCCAATTACTTGTGATCCTATTTACCCCGAGTAATATTATCTATAATAAGTAGTCTAGAATAGCATTCAAGTGTCATTAATTCATATCAACTTTCACTACCAGGATTGGTAGTATCACTACAACAAAGTTTATTTTTTACGACATGCATTGTGTGGCATAAATAACTCTTCACGGCGTACAGCAAAATGCCGTATAAAACAATGTTGTAAAACATGATTTATTTTCTTCGACGTGCGGAGTACGCCATATAGAGAGCACCATCATTAATTTTTACGATGTTCAGTGGCACATTGTAAAAAGTATCGCACTTTTTACCAAGTGTTAATATGTATGCCGTATATTTAATTCCTTCTACAGTGTTCACTGAACGAATGCCATAAATGTGATATACTTTTTATGGAGTGCATTGAACGCTGTATAAGGTTATGGAATTTATGGCATTATTAGTAGTACGCTGTGAAAAGTGGTTTAATTTTTACGGTGTGCCTAAACACGCCTTAAACATCAATTCAATTTTTTAAAATTTATTTATTTATTTCATTGCCAACAAACCTATAATATTTACAAAACAAAATTAATCCATATATAATCAAGTTTTCTATTGTTTCGATAAATAGAAATATTGAATACGGTTCAATACAAAATTTCTCTTATTTATTCAGTCATATTATTCTTTTTTTCTTCTATTAGTTTCATCCCTATTAAGTCTATAATGAATTTTGAAATAAATTTAGTAAACCATTTTATTTATATAAAATGTGCTTATTTAATTAATATTGTCATTTTGACGGCTTGAAAGCTGCATAATAAATTGTGTCAAGCTTGTACAAAAAATAATATACTATTTAATAAATACTATTTTAAGGGGTATATTTTTACATATAGGATTAGGTTGGATATGATCCCGGCAAATATGATTAGGACATGGAGAATGAAAGTATATTGTTACCATATTGGTTGGTGCAACACCATATTAGAAAAATGTTTGAGCATTCAAAAACATAAAATTTATAACAATTTTTTTTCATTCATCCTAAACATGTCACCGTTCATCGTAAATATGTCAGCTTGCACTAACTTGAGAACAACTCCAATCGTATTCACAATTATAAGAGCCAACCATGATCGAGTTAAGTACCTCACTCACCAACCCTTTCCTTTGACCTAAGCACTTCAAATGGTTCCTTGTACTCTCCTAGACATTTTGCCAGAATTGAATTGAGACTGGACTGGCCTTGCAAGTCGGGTCAAGTTCTACATAAATTTTATTGGGTTCATGTTTGATTCTTGGTTCACCCATTTTTCTTTTTTCTAAATATAGATCTAGATATGCTTGTCATTTGGTATATGTGATTTTGCTGGATCCTTATTATGGATGATTTAATGCAAATTTCATCAGTTTTTTAAACACTAAATTAATCTCTGGTCCACGAGGATGAACCGTTGCTTGGAACTTAAACCATCATACCTAGGGTCCATGAGGACGAACATTGAAGACATGCCCACATTAAAAGAAGCTTTACAGATATCAAACTACGTAATCCTGTAGCTCGAGTTAAAGAACTCTAACACAATTTGTCGGTTCATGCGAAGATGAGAAAAACTAAGGTGGTGGATATATATGAGGGAAAAGCCTCCCTGCACAGGCCCTTTTGCACAGGGCTATCACACGGGGTGGACCCCACATGTGGACTCCATGTGTGGGGTTCACCTCCATGTGTGTGCAGCTATATAGGCCTGTGCAAAGGAGCCTGTTCAGGTAGCACAACTCATATATGAGCTAGGGAAGGTGAGCAACATGTTAGCGAATGGCGCCTTCTTTTTTGTGGGCTTTACTTCTAAAATCTACTTAGCCTACAGTACTCCTGCCTCCAGATTACCTCTCAGCACCTCATCCACACAAAGGCATATGCCTCATGTCCCTCCCTATTTTTGGATATATGATAGATCCAAGAACGTCACCCACATGCTAGCCAATATTGACCATAATTATCTATAACTTTGAAATTTAAGAGTCTACACATGGTAGTTTTTCTTCCCCGTATATTATGTATCGATTAAGACCTGATAAAAAAAATTTATGTACTATTATAGGAAAATGTTAATGGTGAGAAACCATTGACAAAACGTGCAATAAAAACAAAATGTCTCCCTTCATGAATTTTTATTTTTTTATTTTTTATTTTTGCATAGAAATCGGATTTCTGCTATTCATCCAATAGGGACAGATGATTAGCAACTAAGAAGTGGAAATCATTAATATCCATTTGCACAGCTCAACCATATCTGGACTATTTTATAAAACTTGCACATATACTACGTTATAAAACTCATTTTCACCACAAACAGTAGTGTCCAACTGAAATAGATTTCTTCAAGTTAAATTACACGATTCATATCGGACGGAATGAAGTTTATAGAAAATGAATTATGGATACAAAACAGATTGCAAAGATGGAAGATTAAATTTACCTTAGCATATGATGTTTAAAAACGCTTCTTAGAACTACATTCAAAACGAACCAAGTTACAGTATAAAAAGCTTCCCCTTCTATTCATCAGCCACCCCATAATCAAGAATATGCTCGTGACTCATAGACACGAGATATTCTCCGTAGCATACAGCATAAGGTGAGGGAAAGATTCATTAATTTTTATTCTGGTCGACCACCACAGATGATACAACTAAAACTCCGTCCTGATTCTCCACTATTTTCCCAAGAAACCACCCGCACAAAACCATTTCTCAGGAACTTATATCTGGTGTCCACAAGGACAAGATTTCAAAACACCACGTTAAAAATGAGCTAATGCAAGATCACCTATCATGCAGGCAACAAAGTACATAATTCTATTACTCAAGGTAAAGAAAAAATAAAAAAATCTTCTCCCTTTGTGCAGCCTCCTACTTCCAACATTTTCTTAGCCTCCACATCTCTGAGAATCCACACGAAGTCATATGCCCAGTGGCCTCCCTACATTCGGATGTGATAGATCCAGGAATGTCACCTGCATGCTGGCCACGTCGAACACCATATTTTTGGACGGCCATCATATAAGGCTTGGCAACTAAAAGTATCAACTTGGTAAGTTTTGGCTCCTTGTATGTCTTCTAGAAGGAAAAATAAATATTCAAACTCTTGTTGATTTGTTTCATGTATTGCATATGTTTGTCTGGAATAAGTATGTCCTTTTATTAACGTTTGTGTTAAGGGATAAAATCCCACATCAATTAAAGATGAAAATATATCCCAACTTATAAAGGATTGTAATATTTCTCTTAACAAGGTTGACATTTTAAGATGGAACCCTAAATTTTAACATGGTACCAGAGTTCATTAAGTTCAAACAAGCACTTTGATCCGATTAAGTATCAATAAATGAGTATACAAATTTCAAGATTGGTTAGTGAAACGAGCCACTATTTTGTGGAGCATGTTAAGGAATAAAATCTCACATCAATTAAAGATGAAAATATAGACCAACTTATAAAAGATTGAACTACTCTCCTTAAGAAGGTTGACATTTTAAAAGGGAACTCCAAATCTTAACAATTTACTAAAAGTAAGGTCTAGCCCTCTCCTAAGTTGTACTCTTTTTGGTTTTTTAATACAACGTGCAATTACAATGGGCTCTAATAAAATAAATAAGAGTTTGTTTGGTACAGTTTAAAAATCAATTAAAATCAATTTTTGACCGTTATTTCACTGTTCAAGTCGTTATTTTTGAATTCTTCTCTTATAGGTAGGACTCACTTTATCTCTAACGATCAAAAAATCAATTATCAAAATCCTTACCAATCAAGCACTAAATTGGAAGAAGCTTATAGTGAGAAACATAATGTGCAATGAAATAGAAATGTGTCTTTTGTAAAGAAAACAGACTTCTTCTATTCATCGGAAAGGGGCACATGATTAGTAACTTTAAAATAGCAATAATTATAAGTATCCGTTATTCAAATTTCTTTCAATACATGCTAATATCACACAAGTTCATAATGTCCTGAAAAATCTACTAAAATATTTTTTTCATCTACCAAAGGGATTTGTTGATGGCAAGCTCTTCTTAGGAATGTCGTAAAGGATTCCTCCCAAATGACTACTTCACGATTGATATTCCTTCACAACCTGCATAGCCATTGGCTGAGTACCGATAAAAGAAAATCACATCGAACAAAAAAGAATATGGTATTAATTAAATTATAATTATTGTGTCTACATCAAGATTCAGATTTGGTTATCGATCCAATCAAATTTATAAAAAAATGAATTATATGTACAAACTAGTTTGTGAAAAGATATAAGGTCGAATTTACCTTAGCATATGATGTCCCAAAAGCTGCTTAACTCAAAACTGAAGATCAGCCACCCCGTAATCAAGACTAAGCTCCCTCATAGGCGGGATATTCTCTAGAGCAAACAACATAAGGTGAGGGAACGATACATTATTGTGATCATACAACACAAGCTGCACAAAAACATTTGGAATTGAACTATGGCTCATGTAACATGCTAAATTCCTCATTACAGAAACATCCATGGCAAAATCCAAAGGAGGGATCGATGGATATGCCGGGCGAACATAGTCAGGGAATATTTTTGATAAATCCCCCCATTCCTCCCACCTCTTAGAAAAACGACTTGGGTGAATCAAACAATCGCCATTCATGGTAACGATCTGAGTTTGTTCTCGTGTGAGAACAATCCCCGCGAACTCACAAATAAAAGAGCCTGCACGGATCAAGTCCAAAGACCTCACTCCCCAACCAGTCTCCCTTGACCTAAACACTTCAAATCGTTTCTTAACCCCCATTTGACTCACCCGATTCCGACAAGTAGGAGGGCAAAGACAATTTGGCCCACACTCAATAATCAACGGTTTTCCTATAACAAGAATCCCATTCATGTCATATGCAAACTCGCCTCCATTTTTCTCTATGCAGGAGCAATCCCATGAACACCCTCCCATGCATTCACATCCGTTCCCATTCCCATGTTCATACACATTGCGAGGGAAAACAGTTGTTTTAAGATATTTGTAATAAAGAGGTTCATGAACACCATCAATCTCATTAAATAGAAGGACCGGCACATTCTCCTCTTTCTTCGACAAATCAAGTGTAACATAACCTTTAGGCGGAGCCTCCGATGGAAAAACCCTAAGACTCTTTGCCAACTTTATCACTGCACTTCCCATTTCCTTCTGATTTTCAATCCTGACAACCTTGAATTTATAAACCCCAAACCCTGATTTCCCCATATCAAACCAAGTATCGGTTACTCTATACAAGCCATCATAAACATAAACTTTTCCACTAATGCTACCTTGATATTTGAATGCCCTAATGACCCTTAACTCCACTCCATATTGCATGCTCCTCTCCATTGCCAAATTGCCACATTCCAGTGTCTGGTTCATAGTCTGCCTGTTATTCTTGTCCTTCCCGCCATTCCCTGTGTAAATTATCACGTCCCCAGCATCGTCATCATCCTCATAACCTTCAGTAACGATAATGCTGGTGGCAATGGGTTCCCTGTTCGAGCTCTGGTGGGCAGGAACATAATCGATCCCAGCCTTCGGCTGCCCATGCAACCCAATGATGCACATTTCCGTCCTTAAAAAAAAAACATCCCCGATATAAACTCCAGGAATATTACCTACAATTCGCTTGTCGAAATTCAACCACAAACCACTTTGCTTCATAATGGTAGCTGCTTTCACATCCCAACTCGTACTCTTGTGAGGGCCCAGCATGTTACGGTTCTTCTCATCTTCTGCAATGGAGCAGACACGCAGATTCTCAAATAGCATCCGGGTACGTCGAATTTGTTCCCGGTAGTAGCAGTGGTCATGAGGCTTCAGATCAACGACACGAACCAACTTGGAGGAGCGCTGGCTGCACCGGGGAGTGCCTCTGGGAAGATCGACAGAATTGGACAGCAGGGTTTCTTCTTTATTGACAGGAACAATGGTGCTGAAATCAGGGAGGGCGGACAAGATTTCAACAAAAGTATTTGGTTTGGAGGAAGAACAAGAGACAGGTGTGGGGATGGGAAGTTGGGGGGTGGTAAAGAGGTGGGAGTTTGGTGTCAATTCGGCGTTTGTAGGGGAAGAAGAAGAACCCATTTCCATCTCCTCAATTTTTTGAAGGAAATCTTAAAGTTAGGTGGGTGTGTCTGTAAGAGACAGAGAGATAGAGATGGAAAGTTTTGTGTGTGTATCTCAGTGAGCAAGAAAACATGAAAACAGTGACAGTGAGTTCTCGCAGGAATAGACGTAAACCTGCACAGTAGGAAACAGCCAAAAATAATATGGTGGAAAACTGGAAATAACCTACACTAGTTGGTGTGTCATTGACCAAATTGAATTTTTTCTCTAGATATTATTATTATTATTTTTTTTTTTTTGGTAGAACTTTTTCTTTGAATTTTGATGATGTTATAACTTTCCTCTTTATATTTATTTATAAGGATTGTACTGTACTTTGAGAGTGCTATTTGATAAATTCTTTATTTGTTTTTTGTTTCTTGAATATCCAGAAATTAAGATAACGCTATTAAGATGTGTGCAATATGATTACTGAAATTATTTTGAATCGAAAGACCTTAATGAAGGTACATGTTTCATCTACCAACAATATGCGACAAAAACAAGGGACAAGTAATGACGATTGTTGAGTCAACAACAAGAAGAATAATTGATGAAATTTAACGAGAATGCTAGGCCTCGATTAGTAAAATCCCGTCATCCAGTAGTTTAAGTAGTCAAGTTTAGAAGACACAACGGTAACTCACAGTACCGAAGTTAGTTAGTCCTCAATTACATATTTTTTATCAACTGCTGTCCCCAAGGAAAGTTGAGTCTCGTTCGAATCGAACGATTGATATGCCGCGACAATCGTATTAATATTCTCCCAATCTCATTGCACTTTTTTAGAATTTATTTCAATTTTTGATACGTCTACCCTTCCATATTAGAACATATTTTAAGAAAATTAATTAGTTATGTAAATAAGGACTTTTTTTTTTTTTTTAATTTTAAGATGAGGATTATTCATAAATGGATTTGCTTTTTACACGTCCAATTATTTGTCATCCTATTCGGTCCAAGTAATTAATGCTAACTATAATCTGCAGTCTGGGATAGCATTTAAATTTCATTAATTCATTTCAATTAATGTCTCTAACCACTATTAGCGGTCTAAATTGATAGTATTATTCATTTTTATTCATCCCTTCTTACTCTTCCTTTTATTTTATTTTTTTTCCTTCCGCACATTGAAATCTATATTGTATCATGAAATAAATTCAGCTATCCATTTTATTTATATAAAAACTGTTTATTTACTATTGTCATAATGGCAGCTTGAAAGATAATTTACTAATCAATACTATTTATGTAGAGTAAATGACTTGCAATAATTATATGTGATTTTGAACATTTAGAGTGCATTTGGTATGTTTACACATTAGGATTAGGCTGGATAGGATATGGTAGATTAAAGTATATTGGTACCATATTGATTAGTGAATCAATCACAATGCTAGAAAAATGTTTAAGCATTCAAAAATATAAAATTTATAACAATATTTTTCTTTTGAACCTCATAAAAATGAATTTATTTTATAAAATGTTTATTGTCTAAAAACATGTTTGAGTTTACTTTATTAAAAAAAAGTTACTTTTTCTATAAAAAAAAAAAAAAAAAAAAAAAAAAAAAAAAAAAAAAAAAATTTAAAAACTTTTAATATATTGTTCAAGTCATACGTCTCGTTATCATATGCTGAATGTAGTATTTCTTGAACACGTGATAACTTTTGGGTTGTTGTTGGAAGGAGATCTGTCGATTTATAGTGAACTTTAAATTAATTCTGAAAGTTTTTTTTATACGAACATGTTTGAATGACTTACCTTCGGTACTTTTAAGAAAAGATGTTAATTTCTTTAAAAAGTAAGCTTTAACGAGGATTTTTTTTTTTTTTTACCTAATTTTTTATCAATGAACATGTTTTAATAACTTATATTCAAGTAGAAATGTTACTTTGGCAGATATGACTCTTACCCTATTTCAAAATTAAAATCTTACTCATAACTTTGATTAATAAAAAATTAAATTCAATATCCACCTCCGATTCGGTGGAGAATATTAAATGTGGGGGTTATGGAAAGTGGCTATGAGTCTCATTGGCTGCTGAGCATTGGCGAAGGGAGGCCTGATGGGAACACCCGCCCCACCCCCCTCCTGTTTTTTGAAATTTTTATTTTTTCCTTTTTTTTTTATAAAAATTACTTAGAGGCTCATTGTACACCTGCCAAAAAAAAAAAAAAATTAAAAAAAATCGTATATTTTTCAATTCTACTATTTTAGGGAAATGAGTCTATTGATGCCAAAATAGAATTTTAGTAAAATTAACATCACGAAAATGGAAATGTAATCAAATTATTAAATCTATTTCTTGCATCAATCTTTGGCTTCCTTATTTTGAACCATTGTTCAATGGTTTTTCAATCCAAATTATGTGTTTTGAAAGTCCTCCATGGATACTTTGAAATTGCACTAAGAACCTACGTGCTCTATGAGCGAAAAAATATGTCCCAAAAATAAGTTGAAGTCACGACTCCAAAATGAGAATTAAAAGGAAAAAAAAAAGGCTATTCATTTATATTTACCCATGTGCGGTGGTCCTTTTGAGTTTGAACTACAGGCAGTCACGTACTTAATTAGCCATTCGAGGCACAACTGTCAGGAATACATCTGGATAGAAAGCGATTCAAACTATGTAGTGCAATTATTGACTAATGGCTTGACACAAGTGTCATTGAAGGTCTGTTCTCATCGGCCGATATATCTTCGTACTTGATTCAGATGACCTTCTGAATTTCGGGAAGGTAACCACATCACTTACACTTCGGAAAATTGAGCAATCCCCCTCCCCAGCCATTTCATTTCGAGTTAAGAAGATGTGGAAGCGCGTTTATCTCTATAAAAACAATGCATTACGAGGTGTGAAGTGTATTTTGGGCGCTACAAGAATTTGTATTCTCAAATCATATCAGAGGGGTTTGCATTTATTGTGGAAATTCCATTTTTTCTAAGATTAATACTTCCTCTCCATCTAAACTAAAGGTGAACATGGGCTTTTTAAATTAATTTGAAGCTAAATCATTTTAAACGGTTTGGAAATTTTCAAATCAAATCAAACTATTTTTTCAAGGTCGCTTTTGTTTCAGAAAGTAAAATCTTTAAAAAACAAGTGAAAAATTATTAAGTGTGTTGGTATGAAATATCAATATCACATTTATATATTAACCTTCTAAATATAAACATTAAATAATAATACATTTTTCTCAATACAAACTTAAACTATTAAATAAATACAAATTTCAAACATAAAATTTAAATTTACAAATTCATTATTTCTGAAATAAATAATTTTTTTTTATTATAATCATTATCTCCTTAGAAAGTAGAAGCCCGAAGTAAATAGTTTTTTGGTGTATGGATTGAAAAGAAAATTTTAAATATTTTGATTAGAACATTTAACATTTTTATTAAAACTAGTCTTTGCTCGTGCAATGCACGAGTTGGATTATTTTCAGCATAATACTAGTGTGTTAAATATGCTGAACTATAGTGTGTCGCCTTCATCATTTATCTTGATAGGTGATAAAAGAATCATTTATCTCACATGTTATACTCTATTGATACATACAGATTGCATTATAGTTAGAATTGATGGTATGTTGTTATCTAGCTATTTAGAAATCAAATGTATAAATTGAACCATGAGCACTTGATAGAACGGAATCATCTGTTTGTAATTTCAGGGGCTGGGAATGGGGACGAAGAGTATGCAATTACTTTGACAACTAATTGTAAACTTACAAGGCCCAAATATGAAGCAATAATGTTTCATGACGGAGCTTTTGAAAAATAGCCTGTAAAAAATTTGTGCAAGTCATAAAAATACGAGAATTGAAATCATGTTTAGTTGCTTAATAGTAAAAGTTTATAATTAATAAATAAATAATCATTTTCAACTACTCAAGTGCCTCAAGGGAACTGAATGCGTAGCAACAAGCAAAACCTAAGATGACTTGAAGAATTATAGAGTATCTTTTCCAACCATAATTCAGATTCTTCAATCAAATCAAGGATGTCCTCTACATCATACAAGTTTGATGACTCTAAACAATCAAGAGGATCAAAGATTAATATTGAAGAACTCACCTAAAAATTTGTAGTTCTAATAGATCTCCAGTATTTCAATGTTGCTAAATTATAAGTTCTAGCAGCCTTTTTCTTCCTTCTACATGAAGAAGAAGAAGAAGAAGAAGAAGAAGAAGAAAACACAAACCAAATAGAACTGAAAGCATCGCTTCCACACTAATAACACTATCTTCTTGTCAAGGTGTATAAATGAACCAAACTTGCCAAGATTCGCTGTGGCAACTGGAGCTCAGTGAAATCTTTAAAATATATCTCACGAGCTTACCTAGATTAAAACAAGTAATATGTTTATTAAAATTGGAAGAACAATCTATTTTGTTTCAAGTGATCCTTAAATTATCAGAACAAACCATTTCGAAACAATTTGCTATTGGTTGGTATTCCATGGAATAATATGTTACTGCTGAAACACGAAAGAATTGAAATCTTAGATCAAAACGCCTCAACGCATTTCGAGGAGAACCAGCTAGCTCTGGGACTCAAAATCTCGTGTTAAAGAGCGTGGAGGTTCAAGTCCTCTTCAAGGCATAATATTGAATGTTAATGGGTCAACCAACGGTTTAAAACTGTGGTTTTTTGAGTAGTAAACTTGATTTTTGGACTAAATAATATGGGTCTAAGGATTTTGCTTATAGGCCCAAATCAATTAAAAGGCCCAACGTGTCCAACATTTCTAGAAGCATTATCTGGAAAAATTTATATAAATATCTACTAGAAAAATCTATATAAATATCTAAGTAAGATATGTAAAGAACATCAAGAGAATTCTAGGAAAATATCTTGATATGTGGTCTAGGTGTCTCTAAAAAATATGTGGACTAGAATCTTCTTGTAAACACTATATAAAGGGGTAGTGCCTTCCATTTTATAACAAGCCAAAAAGTGTGTAAAGTCTTGAATT